CGAGCCAGTCCTGTTGGCTCCAGAACTGAAATATCTCTGCAGCCCACCCAGGTCTGACATCACATGCTGTGGGAAGTAAAAGTTCCTTTTTAAAGTTTCCTTTCTTGTTAAAGAATAAGCGTGCTAATAACTCTTTGTTAAGCCCTATTCTATGTAGCTGTTAGATATGCTGTGCTTACAGGCATGTAGTACATTCTATGCCCTTGTACTTTAACCAAAATATCTGTGCTGGATGTGCTCACAGACATGTCCCAGCTTTTCATTGCTTTTACTTGTTTAGAAAAGTTTTAAGTTATTAGCCAATCGGGTTTTAGTTTAGATTGAGAGGTCTAGCTCCAGCCAATGGAGATCAGACACAGCAGTAAGGACAACCCCAAATGCACAAGGGATATATATGTCTGTTTTCCTTTGTTTATTGTACTCTTGTGGCAAGATGGCTAGTGGGAGTACCTTTCCTACAGGAAGTAAAAATTGCTGAAAGATCCTTTGTCTCAGTGCTGATTTTTCTTTGCGGCACCAAGCATCTGTTTCCAACACATCCCCCTTGTCTCAGCCTCCATATCATTTGTCTGTGCCTCAGCAGCCCGAGTGCCCTTTAAACAGCAGAATGAGAGTCGCAGAGCCTCTGCAGTGCTTCCTGTGTGCCAGGCAGGGACCCATTTCACTCTCGCCACCACCTCTGGGGTACAGCTGTTATCATCTGCATTTTAGTGACATGGAAATCTGAGTCACACCTTACTAATGTCTTCCCAGCATGCTCAGGGAAGGACTTGAACTCTGTCCAGGGCCAGCTTCACTGGCACATGACCTGCGCTGTCCTGCAGGGCCTGCATTCAAAGGGGCTAGCTCTTGGTTTAATGCTCTGCTGTCACTGTCATGCAAGTCTTAATAATTTTGAACAAGGAGCTTCGCGGTTTCATTTTGCGCTGGGCTGCAAATGCATAGCTGGTCTTGACTCTGTGCTTGCTGTAGGACCCCAGTGGTGTGGCAGTTTGCCCTCCCCACCGCCTGCCCATGACAGGTGATATTTGATAGCTGTGTATCACAGTGCTCTGTAGACTTTTCTTTTCCAGCACCTACCACAAGCCATCATTATTTTATGTATTCATTTCCATAGTGGTCTCCCTGACCAGACAGTTCTATGATGGCCGGGACTCCCTCTGTTCCTCCTGCAGGCCTGGTATATTAATTTTTTGTGGGCAATTAAAGGGCAGCCGGGCTTCCAAGGCACAGAAAAATGACATGGAGGCTGGGACAATGGGGCTTATGTTGTTGGAGATGGGTGGGCTGCAGAGATACTTCAGTTCTGGAGCCACAGGACTGGTTCATGGGAGGTGGAGATTTGCCATCCTTGGCCTATATGCCAGACAAGGTCCAGCATCATCAGAGGAGCTCCACATGCCTTCAGGAAGGAGCATTCTCTGAGGACTCTGCCTCCTGTGTGTCCTGAGCAGTCAGTCACCCTCCAGCCTGCCACACTGAGCCAGGGCTGTGCTCTTTCCTTGACAGTGGGCTATGCCATCTCCTGCTTAGTGGGCAGTGGGCTCAGAATGAAAAGCCCTGGGTGCAGCAAACACCAAGTTCAGCTCAGGCAGGAGAGTGCCCTGCTGTCGCTCCTGCTGATGAGACCTTTGTGCAGCCCACAGCCAGATGGGCTGATTGCAGTGACACTGTGTGGCGCTGTGAGCATCAGGACCCTCAACAGTGTTTCCATGGCAGAGAGGCCGGTTGCTGGGGGCCGCCCTGAGCTCCAAGGTTGACTTGGCCCAGAACTTTGGACACCCTCCCCTCCTGCACTCCATTCATCTCTACACTCCCTGCGGCCTGGCCTGGCATCGGCCCATGGAGACTTATTCATCCTGGAATTGGATCGAGCTTGGACTTTGGGCACAGGGTGGGGCACACGAAGGTGGAAGCCAAGGTCCTGACCCAGAGGAGCTGACAATTGACACACAGCACAGGGCACCCTTTCCCCCTCTGGCAGCCCAAAGAGTAGGCAGACCTGCAGCTGCCCCATCCTGCCTGTGAGCCTGGTGGGCCACCCCCGTGGGTGTGTTCCATTTGCTTTCTCTTCAGCTTTTTTCTGGTGTCCTTCCTGGCTAATTGCTGATATTTTTCTTGCCTTTCTTAAAAATATTGCACTGTTTCTTCTGAAAAGCAGTCATTGAAATAGAAACATGTGCTTATCTAGAAGAGTCTAAAGAAGAGAATAGGTATCACCTGTAACTGCATCTTCCTTCTAGATGCATGACCGGGGGGGTTCCTGTCCATATCCTGGAGGTGTGGCTGCCTCATCCTTTCCACCATATGCCCAGGGTACAGGGCTGGCACCTTGCAGGTGCTCAACACATATTTATGACTGAGTGAAAAGAATGAGCAAATATATGTGTGTGTATATATTATATATATAGCAGAAAATTAAGACTATAAATTGTATTTGTTATTTATTTTGAGACAGAGTCTCCCAGGCTGGGATGCAATGGCGCGATCTTGCCTCAACTCAGCTAAATTTTTTTGTGTTTTTAGTAGATAGGGGTTTTCACTGTGTTGGCCAGGCCGGTCTCAAACTCCTGACCTCATGTGATCTTCCCACCTCTGCCTCCCAAAGTGCTGGTATTATAGGTATGAACCACCACACCCAGCCTGATTTTTATTTTGCCTTTTTTACTCTTTGTGGCACTGACCTTTTGCCATGTGGAGTCTGCTGTCGGGGCTTAGACTTCGTTTACTTAATCTATCCGTTCTGCTGAGCATTGTGTTATTGGGATGAACATCCAAGTGTTTTTATCAGAGACTGTATCTCTGGTATTTCCTTAAGGCACATTCCTAGAAATGGCCACAGAAAGGAATAAAAAGGAGTAAGCTTCCTTTTTGGGGTGTTGTATTTTGTGTGTCTTCCTGCTGATCAGGGTATGGGGAGGTGTACTTCAGACTGGAAGGCTGATTTCTGAGAACTGCTATGGTTATAAAAGCGGCAGTGAGGAATGAATTATGTATCAAGCTCTAAGTCAGATCAAGGCAAATGGAGTTCATACTTATCTGAAGACAGAATGTACCTTTCTGGAATCGATCCTGGGGGATGTTGATGAGCCCGGAATAATCCTTCATGGAGTGTTGAGAAAAACCGCTCTCTCCTGTTCAGAAGGAAGGCAGCTGGCCTCCATCACTGTCTCCCAGATTTTATAGTTTGGAAGGATGTCCCAGGGCCCCAGGGCTAGCAGGGCATGCCTGACTTCAGTTCATGGCCACTGAGCATCTGCACCTCGCCGACGCACTGACATTGCGGAGACCCCACCCAGACCGTTCCTGGGCACCCCTGTACTTCCTGCACCTCCCACCCACAGGCTGAGGTCACATGGACTCCAGGTGGCCGAGTCCAGTGGCCAGCTTCAGGTCCTCACTTTGACCTCTTCGGGGCTGCCCACTATCGGAGTCTTCCTTCTAGACGCATGATCTTCTGCAGCCTCTCTGGTGCTTTCCCTCCTTAAGTCTTGTTCACGTCCTTCCTTGCCAATTTTGTCCCTTCTGCCCAACCTCCCAAGTTAGCATTCCTCAACACTGGAGTGTTCCCTCCTCGCCCTGCATTCGTTCACTAGGTGATCTAATCCCAGCGCCACCACTCATGGGCCATTTGGACTTAGGTAGCTTACCTCACCTCTCTGTGCTTTATTTTCTCATCTCTAAAATGGGCTTAGTAAAATACTCTCTCACCGGGTGTTCCAAGGACAATGGGATGGGATTCCCTGCTCCTGCCACAGGCCCTGGCACATGATGGGCACCTCATGAATCTCCTGCTGTCACTCACTCACTCATTCATTCAGTGACTCACTTGGCGGATCTGGATGGAAAGCATCTTATGTGCTGCCCTCTCTTCTAGGCATGGAGGATACAGTGGGGGCAGAGCAGACCCGGGCCTTGCTTACTGGGAACCCATCCTCATGGAGGGGACATAGATGAGAACTAAGTAAATTACAGTTTGTGAGATGGAAAATGATCAGGAGACGTGTGACGGGAAGGGAGAACAGAGGCGGCTTTGGGCAGTGGTTAAGCTCAGTCCTGGCTCACCTGCTTCCAGCTGTGGACCTTGATCAGGTTCATACTGTTTCCTCTCTCAGTAGCTGAGTGACATCACTGGCAGTCAACCTCTTTGTGTCTCAGTTTCCTCATCTGTAACACTGAGTGACATCATCTACCTAGTAGGGAAGGGAACCACTAACCTCTGAAATAGAAAAGCCCATTTCTCAAAGTGTGGTCCTCAGACCCTGCTCCAGAATTGCTGGGACTGTGGATGGAAATGCAGATTTCCTGGCCCACCACATTTCTCATGTTGAGCTCTGGGTGAGGGTCAGAGCCCTGCTTTTTGGAAGAAGCACCTTGGGCGACTCAGGCTCATTGATATTGGCAGAATGTGGTCTGCAGCCTGCTGAGATGGGCTGGTCTCATCTTGATGGGGGCAGGATGGATTGAAACTACTCAAGGTGTGGTCACCTGGGAGCCTCACCTGGGAGCTTGTTAGAAAGGCAAAGCAGATTCTCTAGGGGTGGGCCTAGGACTCCTCGCCTTAAGAACCTCCAAGAGATTCTGCTGCAGCCCCCATCCGGGAGGCTCTAGGTCAGTCCTGGGAGTGGCAGGTGTCTGACCCGCAGTGCCCTAGGCAGGGACACCAGCTCCACACCCTTCTCTCTCTGCTAACTCAGTTTCCCTCCTTCCCTCAGGATCCCAAGTGATGGTGGTTTCCTTGGAGGGCGAGCTGAGCCCTGCGCGACTGGTTAGCACGGTGGAGCTAGTAGCCGCGCCTGCTGGCTGGTGTGCGTGAACGGGTGTGAACCGCAGGATCTCAGCACCTTGACCCAAGAGGAAGCATGTCGAAGAAAGGCCGGAGCAAGGGCGAGAAGCCCGAGATGGAGACGGACCCGGTGCAGATGGCCAACGAGGAGCTGCGGGCCAAGTTGACCAGCATTCAGATCGAGTTCCAGCAGGAAAGGAGCAAGGTGGGGGCTGGTGCCAGCTCAGCAGCAGCTGAGTACTGTTGTCCCTGGGGCCTGTGTGGAGAGCCTGTTCCAGTGCCGAGGGTGGGCACTTCACCTCACTGGCCTGCGGCCTGTCCCTTTGCAGTACAGACACTGCTGAGCAGGAGTCCTGACCCCACCAGTACTTGCTGTGACCTTGGACAAGCCGCTGAACACCCCATGCTTTGATTTCTGTTACCTGCAAGATGGGGGATGTTAAAAGAAAAATGTTTGACAAATTTAGTTTAGCAGAGTTTGAGTAAAGAACGATTGGAGGATGGGGCAGTCCCCAGAACATAACAGGTTCAGAGGAACCTGCATGTGGTCATATGGCAGTCATTATGGGGACAGAAAACAGAAGAGGTGCTGAGGCCACTCGATTGGTTACAGCTTGATCCTCGATACACGGGTCACCTGTGGTTTACTGATGCTCAGCTGCTGTGATTGGCTGAGCCTTGGCTGTTTGTTTAAAAATGCTCCTAAGTCAGGCTTTCAGTTAGTTTGCCTGCTAAGTTAGGTTGCAGTTCATTATATGGGAACTCATGCATGAAGGCATCCTCAGGTTACGTCTAGTTTAATTCAGCAGGGTCATGACAGTACCAGCTTTTCCTAAATTCCACAAGGAAGGAGGGCACAGTGAGGCATGTCTGACTTCCCCCCTTCCCATCATGGCCTGAACTAGTTTTTCAGGTTAGCTTTGGAATGCTCTTGGCCAAAGGGAGGGATCTGTCCGTTCAGATGGTCAGGAGGCTTCGAATTTTATTTTTGATCTATGCTGCCTTGTGGTCTTGTAAGCCTTGTACGTGCTTTTTCAGACACGATGGGGCTGTGGTCTGGACTCAGGACTCTACTAGGTAAAAAGCTCGGAGCAGAGCTGGCCCTGCACATGAGCTACTTTCCTCTCTCCTAGGGCAGATTTGAGCTGGTCAGGAGCTGGTCAGGACAGTGCCTGTTTGGATGCTGGGAGTCTAATTAAAGCACAGGCTGTCACAGAGGGGAGGGGCACAGGCTTTCTAGGCAGACCTGGCTTCAAGCCTCAGCTTGTCCCTTAACTGGTCTCATGATCTTGGCCAGGTGATTAAAAGTCTCTGAAACCTCTGTCTTCTCATCTGACACCAGCTATTATGGTGTAATAATGGCTGCCTGGTTTAAGATGGTCATGAGGATCTGGTTAATGGATACAATAAAAAGCCCAGTCAACATCTGGTGCCCAGGCTCAGCTGCAGTCCTGTTTGGTGGCCTGGTTCTGACTTGGGTGGGCTTGAGGGCAGAACAAGCCCAGGGTTCTGTGATTCCAGAGAGGAGCCACCAGCCAGGCTGCGGACAGAAAGGGGATGGAGACGCAGGCTTGCTCCTAGATGGCTTGAGCAGTTGAGGGTCTACCTGAAGCCCTGAAGGTGCCCTCCAGCTCCTGCTGTAGCACCTGGAGCGATGGGTGGAGGCTGCTTGGGGGATTGCAGCAGGCGTCTCTGTCTTGTTGAGCTGGGACTCAGGCCTTCAATGGGGTGATGGGCCAGATCCAGCTCCCAGGTGGGGATAGGGCTGGGGCCTGGGCTCTGGCTCCAACCTCAGCTCAGGATGGCCACACAGAGCAGAGGCTGAGTTCTGGACCGGGAGCCTCGGCTTCTGGAACTTGATGATAGATGCACCTGTCTCCATCCCTAGGTGTTCAAGATTCCAGGTTGAGTGCATCCAGCCTGTTTTAGCCATGGAGTGCATCCAACCTGTTCACCCTTTAGCTAGGTCGAGAGGCCAGGTCACCTCCAGGGCTGGGGCTGAATGGCTGGGGCTGCAGGGGCTGGGAGCCTGTATCTGGAGGTAGCAACAGCATCTGTGGTAACAGGGAAAGCTGCTCACTCACACCACACTGCCTGGGCTCCATCCTGTCTCCACCACCAACCCTGCCTGGAGGTCTTATAAGCTGTGTAACCCCCTGTCTCAGTTTTCCCATCTGTAGATGGGACCTCTAATGTGTCTGCCTTCTGATTTGTTTGAGGAATGAATGAGACAGTCACACACAGGGCCCGAGGCTGCCTGTTATACTCTCACATGACCATTAGGGTGACATTTACATGACTACTGTGCAGATAGCACCAGGTGCTTTAGAGGGTGTCATGACCCTGGCAGTGACCTGAGAGGTCAGATGTGCCTTCCCCCATGTTACAGATGAACAAGCTAAGGTTTGGAGAGGGCAGGGACTTGCCCAGGTATGTTAGCTTGCCAGGGCTGCCATAACCAATTCCCACAGATGGAGCGGCTTAAACAACAGATGTTTGCTGTCTCACAGTCCTGGAGGCTAGCAGCCACAGATCCAGGTGTTAGGACTGGCTCCTTCTGAAGCCTCTCTCTTTGGTTTGGAGACGGCTGCCTCCTCCCTGCGTCTTTGCAGGGCTTTATCCTCTGTGTGTATCCATGTCTGTATTGCTTCTTCTACTAAAGATTGCCTAATCCAGGCAAATTGGATTAGGGCCCACCCTAATGACCTTATTAGGATCTGTCTCCAAACACAACTAATCTTGAGGTCCTGGGGGTTAGCACTTCAACATATGAATTTCAGGGGGACACAGTTTAGCCACACACACGAGACCAGCACATTAGGTGGTAGTGATGGGTTGAAAGCCAGGCCCACGGAGACCCCAGGCTGGGCCTCCCCATTACCAGGCTGCCTCCATGCCTCTGGGACATGTGGCAATTTCGACTTGGATGTACCCTGGCTACTTATTTTCTCAATCCAGCCATCCCGGTGGCTCCTTCAGGTTGGCTTTACCCATCTGGCTGGGGGGAGAATTTCAATTCTCTGAGAATTCAGGAATGTGCTTATTGACTGATACAAAAAGCATACATGCAAACTTTGCAGTGTTACTGCAAAGCATTGACGTGTTACTTTGATATGATCTCATAATTGCCATCAATGTCCCATTTAAAGTGCTGGCATTTTAGCAAAGCATCCCTGTTGAACCCTGTAGGATGAGGGAGGGTGGTAAATGTGTCTGTTTATTCATCAGTGAGCCCCCTGCACACGTGCTCTGTGCCTGGGATGAGTGAGAAGTGTTTAGAAGTAATTCAGAAACAGCCCCTGCCTTCAAGCCAGATGGGTACAGAGGCTCACAGGAAACCAGCAATATAGCAGCCCTGGGCACATTGCATTAGAAAATGGTGCATGGGGAAGCAGAACCCAAGGCTTTACAGAGGCAGTTTTGTATTTTTTTTTTTTTTTCTTGGAGCATTTCCTTACTTTCTGGCATTATAAGATGCCCCAGGCTCATCTGTATAGTACATACCGCAGCCCTAGCCCCAGCAATTTTTCTATGGAGTCCTGGTTCCTTTTATTGGAGAATGGCGTTAGCAACCAAGATCTGAGCACCAGGCGTGCTCATTGCTGCTGGGGTGTCATTGCTTCTAGGCCCTCTCAGCAGCCAGAACAAGGAAATATATGTGTATACCGACCTGCATATGTACACATACCTGTGACATCTATATCCATACAAAGTTAAACATGAGTTCTTACAGATGTCCCTGATACTAAGCCACTGCCACATGGATCACTTCGGCCTCCTCATGCTTGTCTGCAAGCTGTCACTCCAGGTTGGAAACCTGGCTTCCCATCTGCCACCCACTTTGTTCAACACTATATATGTATGATGGTTTCAGAGTAGTTAACGTGTACCCATGTGGTTAGAGGGCCTTGAGCATGGAGGGTGTGGTGGGGAGGGTTACTGCAGGTGGCTTAGGCAAGGACAAAGTGGGGAAGTGGCCAGGCCTGGACATGGAGACCCAGCCATGCCAGATTGAATGAGGATGGGGATAGAAAGAGACGAGTCTGACTCACTCTCTGAGTGGGAGTGGCAAGTGAGGGTGGTGCTGGTGGTTCAGATAAATTCATGCCAGCCACTCTGCCCCTAGGGCATGCTCCCTCTCTCAGCCTTTGTGCTGTGGCTGTATGTAGAGTCCACGTGCTGAGGAGCAGTTGGCTTGGGTGCCTCTCACTTGGGGAATAGCTTGGAGGCACCTGGGGGTAAAGTGCTTGGGGCTTTTTTTGGCCTGCTCAGCTGGATGGAGTGCTTGAGGGGAGTGCTCCATGCACATCAGGGGCCACCCCAGCCTCACTCTGCTCCCTCTGTCACATAGGTCATGTCACTGGGCTTGGCCCTCAGCAGCTTTGGGCAGAGCTGGTGGGATCAGGCAGGGCCGTGTCCCCAGGCCCCTGCCTCTCTGTCACCATGCCGGCCCTACACACTTGCATCACCAGCCTCAGCAGCACCTCTGCCCCTCCCAGGAAGCATCCTGTAGACCCCCTGGGCTGCCCTGCATAGGCCTCTGCCCAGCCTTCCATGTTCTTCACTCCCTTTCCGCCTGTGACTGTCTCTCGAGGGCTGCCCACACCCGACGTGCAAAGTCAGAACCACAATAACAGACTTCCATTCATCCACGCACAGTCGCCTCATCTTCCTCCTCCCAACGGGCCTTTGAGGGGCCACTATTGACATCCCTGTTTCCTACTAGAGGAAACTGGAGCTCGGGAAGATTGTGTAGCCAGGGTTCTTCAAAGAAATAGAACCAATAGGTTGACACACACAGATACACACACACACACATACACTCACAGTGTGAGAGGTTGTTAGTTTTAAGGAATTGGCTTATGCAGTTGTGGGGCTGGCAAATCAGAAATGTGTAGGGCAGACCAACAGGCTGGAGATTCGGGCAAGGGCTGATCTTGCAGCCTCGAGTTTCGGAGCAGTCTGGGGGCAGAGTTCCTTCTCCCTCAGGGGACCTCAGTCTTTCTCTTAGAGCCTTCAGCTGATTGGATGACGCCCACCTACATTGTGGAAGGCACTGGGCTTCACCCTGAGCCACTGATGTGAATATTCGTCTTTTCTAAAATATACCTTCACGGCCACACCTGGACTGGTGTTTGACCGAACGACTGGGCACTGTGCCCAGCAAAGTTGACCCACAACATCAGCCACCACAGAGGTAGAGATATTTGCCGCAGGAAACACAGCTCGTCAAAGCAGATCAGGATCTCACTGGCTCTGACCCTGCTGACCCCAGAAGGCTGTTGGAATTGACCAGGGACTTAAGACAGTGTTGCCTCACAGGAGGGGGAACAGTCAGAAACATTTTGTCTATAACTGGGACAATTGTGTTAAATGCTTAATGTTAAATGCTTGCTGCTACTAAATCCACCAGGAAAAGATGCTGATTGCTGCCACCAGGGTAAGGTGGGCAGAGAGTGGACTGGTCGCCTGGCTTCCTTCCCATGACTGTGTCTGGTGAAAGGAGATGTTGGTCTTGTGTGTTTGCCTGAGTTGGTTTTCTTTGCTTCTCTCCCTGTTGCTGTAAGTAAGGATTTACTGATACTCAGGGGTCATTGGAAAACTTCTCACCTAACGTTCATGTTAACATGTTACTATGCTAGCTACAGAGTGGTCTGGGGGAACACGTTGCCATTTTCCCTGGAAGCAGCTTGTCCATCAGAGGCAATTCATTTCAGGTCTTCAGAGACGACAGAATTCAGGAAACAGCAGCTTGACAAGCATTCCTGTGGAATGTGTTGAGTGATATTTGAAACAAAAAGGTTAAAGAAAGCGTTTTGAAGTGTTTTAAGAACACACTCCCTTGGGACATTTTATAAGTAACGTTTTGAATTGCTGAAAAAATGGTTAGGCTCAAGGCGGGGTGGGTTGCCTGCCAGTAGCAGGACCCTCATCCCTCACCCCAGGCAGGGACCCAGACCATCTCTGAGCCTTGGTTGCCTCATGATAAAACAGAAGTGGGGGTGAGGGGGGAGAGAGAGAGAGAGCGCTACCTCCTTCCCAAGACTGTGAAAGGTTAATGTGGCAATGTGGGTGATGCATTGGTGTCCCCAGCCCATCTCAGGACCCTGCTCAACAAGAATGGTGCCCCCACCCACTGCCCCCCCCCCCAAGACATAGAAGCCTGGTCTGTCTTGTCCAACTCCAGAGTCCATGCATGGGGCCCTGGATATGCATTTCTGGTTTAAAATCTTTTGGGTCTTGGTGATGGTTTCTGCAGGGTGCGTTCTGTGATTTAGCAATTGTCCTTCTTTATATATCTGCGACCTGGAACAGATGTCAAAGGCTTGAATGCCTTCCAACATCTTCAGAGGGTTTCCACCCCCCAGGGAAAACCTCAGGAAACTAGCAGGAGAGATTCTAGGTGGCGCTGGCAGGACGGTGAGGCCTGCAGGGCATTGTGGAAGAGGGAATCCTTGGGAACGTGGGCCCAGGTGGGTCTCTGGGGCACGGGGAGGCTATGGCCAGCTCTCCCAGGTGTGACCCTGACCCTGATCCTGACTGGCTCTCTCGCCGCTCTGGCTGCAGGTGGGCAAACTGCGCGAGCGGCTGCAGGAGGCGAAGCTGGAGCGCGAGCAGGAGCAGCGGCGGCACACGGCCTACATTTCCGAGCTCAAGGCCAAGCTGCACGAGGAGAAGACCAAGGAGCTGCAGGCGCTGCGCGAGGGGCTCATCAGGCAGCACGAGCAGGAGGCGGCGCGCACGGCCAAGATCAAGGAGGGTGAGCTGCAGCGGCTGCAGGCCACGCTGAATGTGCTGCGCGACGGCGCGGCAGACAAGGTCAAGACCGCGCTGCTGACCGAGGCGCGCGAGGAGGCGCGCAGGGCCTTCGATGGAGAGCGCCTGCGGCTGCAGCAGGAGATCCTGGAGCTCAAGGCCGCGCGCAAGCAGGCGGAGGAGGCGCTCAGCAACTGCATGCAGGCCGACAAGACCAAGGCAGCCGACCTGCGCGCCGCCTACCAGGCGCACCAAGACGAGGTGCACCGCATCAAGCGCGAGTGCGAGCGCGACATCCGAAGGCTGGTATGTGCCGCCCCCTCCCCAGCCAGCGCCCGAGCTCGCAGCCTTCCCTCCCTGCACGCGTGGGGGAAATGCGCAACTCCGAGGACCTGCTCGGCCCCAGGCATTGTTCAAACCACTGGGCCCCCAGCTACGTCCCTGCAGTCTTGGGTGTGATAAGGAGGCTTTGGGGCTGAAGGGAAACAGCTCAAATAACAGTTTCCCCATTTGTCAAAGGAGCTTAGTGGAGACTAGCCAGGGTTGTTGCGAATGCATCGTGATCGCAAATCTAAGTGCCGGGCATTTATTGATTCATTTACTTCATCAGCCAGGAGCAGATTTCCACCTTCCAGGTAAGAGGCCGGCCAATTGGCTGCAACAACAAGGGAAAAACATAAATTGCAAATAGTCCTGTTTGGAAAGGTACTGGAGATCTGCGGAGTGTGGAAGAGCTAAAATTTCAAAGGGAAGGGGAAAGAGCCCTGCCTAGGTGGCCTGAGTTGCCACCTGCTTTCTTCTCTGGGGGCATCTGTGGATTCTGGGTGTGGGCTGAAGATTGGATGTCCTAGGAGAGACGAGTAGGACTTTTTGCCATCTCAGGGTGGGCATTAAACAATGGAAACCAGAGGAGCCCCGCCTAGGCCAGCTTGCTGCACAGGAAACCTGCCTGAGTTCTGGAGTGATGGGGGAGGCCGGTGAGCCCAGCTGGAAAGGCAGAGTACAGCTCCCATGCCCTCACTGGACGTAGGAGACAAAGGGAGGGGGCCAGCCAGAAACACATGAGGAGTCTGCCCCTCAGGGCATTTGTCACACTTTGGAGCTGTGTGGGGCAGGAGGCTAAGAAGTAAAGTAAGCTGAGATTTTCAGACTGGATCAAACAATAACAGTGATATTTACAAGAGAGACATCTTAATTATGAGGACATGGTGACATTGAGCATAAGAGGATGGGGAGAGATACATTGTACAAACACTTCCCCAAGGCGCAGTTGGTCTGGCTGTGTTAATGGCTCTAAGGCAAGAAGTGATACTAAAGACACAAAGGGACAGTACTTAATAATAAAGGGTCAGTTCAGTGGGAATGCATTCAATAAACAAAACCTCCAAATGTATAAAAGAAAAAACTATCAAAACTAAAAGAAGTAGACAAATCCACAGTCATAGTTGGGGACAAACACACTTCTGTCAGCAAGCAGTAGAACACAGACAAAAAAATGAATAAAGATATGCAAGATTTCACCAACACAATTAACCAGCGTGAACTTACCTGACAGAGCACTCAATTCCACAACTGTAGAATACTGTGGACATGACGTACTTCTGTCAAAATAGACGACATTTCAAACTTTGTGGGTTGTAATTAGTCCTTAGAGCAAAACATGTTTTAGACAAAAAGAAGAAATGCTGAAAATGAAGCATCCAAGCTTCCATCTCAAAAAAGAAAACAGCAAATTAAACTCCAGAGAGTAGAAGGAGGGAAATTTTAAACAGCAAGAAACACTGAAATAAAATCAATAAAGAAAATCAACAAATTCAAGAGTTAATTAAAATTTATGAATTGGCAAACATTTAGCAATATTGATAAAGCAAAACAGAGACAGTAAGTTACCAATATCAAAAATGTAAAGGGGGAAATACCACAGCTCCTACAGACAATAAGACCACTGGAAACAGCATATGCCCATAAACTTGAAACCTCGATAAAATGAACACATTCCCTGAATAAGCACAATGTACCAAAACTGACACTACATAGAAAATTCTCAGTAGTCCTATAGCTTTTCCTATGAAGAAAGGCCCAGACCTAGATGGCTTCACAAGTAAATTCTTTTAAGTATTTAAGGAAGAAATAAAACTAATTCTAGCCAAACTCTTTCAGAAAATAGAGAAATAGAAACATATTTTGACTAACTCATGAAGCCAGTGTAACTCTGATTTCAAAACCAGTAACATTACAAGATAAGGCAACTTTTGGATTACCTGTTATGAACATAGATACAAGAATACGAGCAAGATATTAACATATCAAATCCAGAAATATATAGAAAGACTAATAAGTCATAACCCAGCTGTGTTTATTCTGAGAATACAAAGATTGGCTTAATATTCTAAAATCGGTGAATATAATTCAACATAATAATAGGATAAAAGAGAAAAAACCCGTATGGTCATCTTAATAGATGCAGAAAAATCTGTTGATAAAATTCACCTTCATAATATAAACTCTCAGAAAACCAGGAATAGAATGGAATTTCTCTAATATGATAAATGGTTCTATCAAAAATCTATTACAAGCAATATACATAATGATAAAATATTGAACATTTCCCACCCAAGTTCAAGGTCAAAGAAAATGTTCACTATTACCACTTCTATTCAACATAGCACTGGCCGGGATGTCAAATACAAAAGGCAATAAAATAAAAGTTCTAAAGATGGAGAAAAAAAGGAAAGCTCATTCTTTGCGGTGTTATGGTTGTGATGTAGAAAATCTAAGAGACCTGTTTTAGTTAATTACTGTTGCTATAGCAAAATAACACAGAGTGGGTAATTAGTATGTAATAGGAATTTATTTTTTATCATTCTGAACGTTGGGAAGTCCAAGATCCAGCCACTGGCAAGTTCAGTATCTGGCAAGAGCCCAGTTTCTGCTTCTCAGATGGTACCTTGAATGCCATGTCCTCACATGGCAGAAGGAATGGAATGACAGAAGAGAGGCAGGCAGCTCATATTTCTCTTATAAGGTCACTAACCTCCTTCATAAAGGCTTTGCCCTCGTGAATTAATCACCTCTTAAAGGCCCTAACTCTTAGTACTATCATATTGGTGATAAGTTTCAACATATGAATTTTTGTGGGATGTATTCAGAACATGTCATGACCCTACAAACTATTAGAATTAATAAGTGAATTTATCAATGTCTATATATAAAAGGTACATACACAAAAATAAATTGTTTCAATATGTTAGCAGTGAACAAGTAGAAAATGAAATTTAAAAAAATATCATTTACAGTAGAGCACCAAAAAATTCAAATACCTAGGAATAAATCTAATGTAAGTTGTGTAAGATGTCTCCCTTGAAAACTATAAAACATTGCTGAGAAAAATTTAAGGAGATCTAAATCAATGGAAAGGGATACCATTTTGATCGATTAGAAAACTTAGTAGAGATATCAGTTTTTCCATGATTGATCTACAGATTCAGTGCTATCTCTTACCAAAATCTCAGCAGACTTTTTTTTTTTTTTTTTTTTTTTAAACAGAGTCTTGCTCTGT